GGAGAAGGAGGAGTTTGGAAGAGATTTTTAGTGGAATTCTTGTGGTAAGTGTTCTTCAATCACTTTTGGAATAATTTCATGTAATTAGTCTTGTATTTTTATAAATGGTTTTAAAAGGTGGGGGCGTGAGACGAAGCAATTTACCTCGGACGAGGCGAGGCGTAAGCCCTGAGACATGGGGCGTAAGTCCCATGGATCTGTAAATTTTACTAATTTCAAGAATTTTAAGATAGTATAAAATAAAAAATAATTATAAAAATTACATTAAAACCACAAAATTATACAAATAATCTATTTAAAATATTTATAAATTTTAATTCAACTATGAATAATACAAAAAGTATGACATATATCATAATATGCAAATTAGTTACAACGTCGTTACAACTCAAACATCAAAAGTAATATATTCGATGCGAAATCTTATATGTATCTCTTAAGGAGTAATGAATCTTGAAAGAATTTCGATATTATAATTTGATCTTTCTTATTAAATACTCCTTTTATTTAATATGCTTTCTATTTAAAAGAGAATTTATATAAAAATATAATTCACAATTTAAATATGATTCTCTAGTATAATTTATTTTTAAGTTTCAACAAGTTAATAAAGTGACACATAATTCACCATATATATCATGATAACTAATTATTTGTAATAGTTACTAGCTAATACAGAGCTATTACATTAGTAAGTATTGTACCTCGTAAATATGAAAAAAAATAATATTTAGGGAAATAATTATAAAAAAATTATGGACTAATATAATAAAGACATAACAAAAGTTAATAAATTAATACTTTTAAATGAAAGATTTATGTAAAATCTACTATCATAGCAGTGTTAGTGGATAACATGCAATAATTTTTATTTTAATTATGACATAAAATACTCTCAACTTAATGATTTATGATTAAGAAAAGAGTAATTTTGAATAGTCAACGGTTTATTAAGAAAAACTGATGATTTACAAGGTTAGTTACACACAATTGCATAAAGTTCTATTAGGTGAGCCCAGTACGCTGGGCGTTGGGCGTGTCCTGGGTGTAAGCCCCGACGGCCGAGGCGTAAGTCTCACGGAACTAAGCCCCACACATAAGTCCGGGGACATTTTATGAGTGCTACGCCCCAGGGCGAGCCCCGAACGAGTCCCAATTCTTCCTTTTAAAACAGAGATAATCACTCATTTTTTATATTTAATATACAAGCATCACAAAAGTCACTAAATTTGGAGTATTTTCTATAACCAAAAAATAGCTAACTTTTTTTTTTTTTTTTTAATAACCACGTTATTCGGGCCACAAAAATTGCCCAGCTTTGGCCAAATATCTCACTGGGAGGAAATAAAGGAGACATTTTTATTATATTTTAGAAAAGGTGGGTGACTTTTTTGTTACAAAAAATCACTTAAAAGCAGTTCTGCTTAAGCAATTGTAGCCAGAGACTTGGACCCAGGATATGAGCACGGCAGGGCACCATTGTATACTAATCAGTAATCACTAGTGATAAAATTCGGCTTTGAACTCTCTGAAAACTTAATAATTATGACTCCTCCAAGTATAAATAAAAAGAAGTTCTAAAGAAAAAGAAAGCACCAAACAGAGAGAGATTTCTTCACAAAATGAGTGTTATAGGAAGAGAAGTATTTGATTAAGCATGTTTCACACTTTTAAATTTCTAATCTATTAATAAAAAAGGAGGTCAGTGATCAAAAGGGCGTTCAGATTTTAAATTATCCTAAATTAATTCAAGAAATCAAGATTAAGAGTATGTTAATAGTCAAAGAACTGGAAAAAAAAAGTCTTGACAAGTCGGAGACAAAGTGATTGTTGAAGAAGATTGTGGCAGAAGAATTTATAATTTTCTATTTGTGGAGCGATAAGTTGCAATTTGAGGCTTTTAATTTAAGGTAGGGATTCGAAAAAGAAATTTGATGAAGTTGACTATTGTGTGATAGCATTAAACTATAATTGAATTTAAAAAAAAGAAGATAAAGACAAAAAATAAAGCAATTTGCTACTCCCTCCGGTTCACATGACCAATTTGCTTTTTTTTTTATTCTGGTCCAAAATAAGTGTCCATTTGTATAATCAAGAAAAAATTCAATTTGTTTTTCCAAAATTACCCTTATGTATGTGTCCCTAAAAAGTCATTTACTCCTCACATTTTGCGAAGAGAAGTAAGTGCTACTATAACTATGGTGCAACATTATGAAGGGTAGTTTAGTTACACTAACTATTTTCGTCTAGAATTTAGTATTTCCTTAATGGGTCTGCCCAAAGCAAACTGATCACTTATTATGGACCGGAGGAAGTACTAAGTGTAAAAAGGACTAGAATAGAACTAAATAGAGGGGGAAGTGCACGGTTAGCCACTAATAACACATGTATTTATTTTTAAGCCACTGTTTAAAATGTCTTTAGTCTTTAGCCACTGCTTTAATAAACTTTAACTGCCCGGACGAAAATACCCTTCTGCTCATGTCCTTAACTTTTATACTTAACTTCAGGACTTCAGGACTACATGTCCTTAACTTTTGAACTTGGAACTCTAAGTTCAGGACTTCAGAACTACATGTCCTTAACTTCAGGACTTCAGGACTACATGTCCTTACCTTTTGAACTTAACTTCAGGACTACATGTCCTTAGCTTTTGAACTTAACTTCAGGACTTCAGGACTACATGTCCTTAACTTTTGAACTTGGAACTCAAACTTCAGGACCAAGAGTCCTTAACTTTTGAACTTGTAACTGTAAGTTAAGGATTGCTTGTCATTAACTTTTGAACGTGTAACTGTAATTTAAGGATTGTCTGTCCTTAACTTTTGAACTTGAAAGTCAAAGTTAAGGACCTATTGTCCTTAACTTTTGAACTTGTAACTGTAAGTTAAGGACTGCCTGTCCTTAACTTTTGAACTTGTAACTCTAAGTTAAGGACTGCCTGTCCTTAACTTTAGAACTTGTAACTGTAAGTTAAGGACTACCTGTACTTAACTTTTGAACTTTTGTCCTTAACTATTGAACTTAACTTCAGGACTACATGTCCTTAACTTTTGAATTTAACTTTAGGACTTCAGGACTACATGTCCTTAACACAATTATCTTTGTCCTTAATTTTTTGGCTTTTTACCATATTTTTCCTAATTATCTGTTGTTTAAGAAAATCTAAAAGTCACTTCTTTTAGAAAATCAAAAGTCACGTCCTCCCACGTCTGTGATTATTATGAGTGAATGATTTACCAGGCAATTCAACTCCTGAAAGCAGACACAAAAGAAAATGGGAGGCTTATCATTTCGTTTCTTCTGTTCAAAATTGGATTTCATATATGAAAATAATGGAAACACTCATACAGACCCCATAACGCCATTGCAAAAGGAGAAGTGGAGCTGTAAGGAATGGATCTGAAAATGGCGTATTTCCGTTTGGAAAGGAAAGGGTAATACTGCCTTTTCATATTAATTTTAATAGACTAGTGGCTACTTTTGCTCAGCATTAAAAATGCTGGATAAAAAGTAAATACCACTTTAAAATGTGGCTACCCCACACAATTTTTACCTAAATAGAAAGGAGAAGAAAAACCAAGAACTAAAATAGAAAGGAGGAAAGTCTGAAAATGGTTTCCAACCACGACATTCAACAAAGGAAACCTGAGCGCCCAAGCCGACCAATTCCCCAGTTATATATATCCAAAGTATTTGTCGAGGCTAACGGGGTCTCGTGACCCCTCGACTCGCAACATAGGTCCACCTTTGACTGTATCAGTTCTCACACCCACTGATTTTGCATCTTTTAACATCTCGAGTTTAGAACTCTCCTCGTACTTGCTTTTTTCCATCACGATTTTCTATTCTAGAATACTCAGTTTGTACATTCTTCTTCTCGTTCATTTTATCTTGGACAATGAGATGTTTCATTAATTGGTGACTTTGAAGCAATAAACTGAAAATGTTGACTGACCATCCACAATATTAAAGAGACATACAAACTGAGAGGACCACTACCCTCTTCATCATCTACAACACGGGGATGTTCTGGTTTCCAATAACGAAAGGCCCATGTGATCTATCGCGGCTATGGGTCCTTCTGAACCCAGACACGTGTTTAAAAAATCACTAAATAAGTACAAATAAAAGGTTTTGAATCCAGCAAATTAGGCGCAATGTGGTAGAAATTCCGAGTCTGCACCTATAAAGTTCAAATCCTTGATCCGCCTCTGAATGATACATTAGAAGCTAATGTTGCTAAAAGGATACAAAAACAACTCACTCGGAGAAAGAATCAAGTTATCACCTTCAGTTGACTCAACTGTTCCCACAGAAAACTCAGCATCTAAAGACAATCCCTCACAAGCTAGAGTAAAAAGGGCAGCCTAGTGTACTAATCTCCTATTATGCGCGGAGTCCGGGGAAGAACCGGACCACAAGGGTCTATTTTACGCAGCCTTACCCTGCATTTCTGCAAGAGACTGTTTCCACAGCTCGAATCCGTGACTCCTGGTCAGATGGCAATAACTTTACCAGTTATGCCAAGGCTCCCCTTCAACTCACAAGCTAGAGTAGCTGGAATAATTTGAGGACAATCAACAAAAGCATTTCTGGTGATTTTTCACCAGTATTCTACAATTGCCTTTTATAAGTTGGAACCAACAGAAACAAACTATTGCCTTTGTAATGATCTTCACCCCGTTAAAGGCTCTTTCACGATTTCGTTCTCAAGTCGTGACCAGAGAATTTCAAATAGGTGCTTTTCAAGGCGAAACGGCACAAATGAGCTAAGGTTGGTTGAACGATGTGGCACCTCGACTGTACACCTGAATACAAGAGAGAAAGCAAAACGTTAGATCCAATTTCTGCAATAATATCTATGCAATTCTAATGACAACAAAGATAACTTGGAATCCTTAATAACAAGTTCAATCCAGGAGAGAAAGAGAAAGGAAGAAACTTGCACGGAAATATCAGTTTCGAGTGTTGGCATATACAAATGAATGACAAGAATGTGCATGCTAATGAAGATAAAACAACTTTAAACCAGTGAAAAGGTTGTCTACGTATGCAAACAACGTTTCCAGAAAATATAAGTTATAAATGCCCTGATTTAGAGAAAAGCAAGTAAAGAAAAATAGATCTACAGAAATATACCCTTTTCAACTTTAAGACTCTAATCATCCTCATCTGCAGTGATACAGAGAACACTTTAGCTAGAGCCACACAATGATTCAAATGCCCTTAATCGATATCTCCAACTGCTCGATCCTTTTGGCTAGATCATGCTTCCCACAATTCTTCAATCCATCTGTAACCATGTCAAAGCTTCGTGACATAGGCAACAGATTTAACTCGGTCATTTCTACTAAATAGTTAGCAGCCTCTACAAATCTACCTCCACGAGTGCACATCTTTATCAACATAGTATAAAGTGGTCGATTCGGTGGATGCCCCTTCAGCTTCATATCACTGAAAAAGCTAAATGCATCATCGAACTGTCCTCTCCGGAAGAAAGCCTTTAAAATTGGAGCATATAAACTAGGAAATGGCCGCTGTCCATCTTCAATTGACCGATGAAGAATCTGAACTGCCTCGTCAATCCTCCCTACTTTTGATGCTGCAGTTATCACAATCTTATATGTCTCAATATCAGGACAAAGCCCCAATCTACAAACATCATTGAAAAGGTCAATGCAAAAGTCAATCTCCCCGGTTTTACATATAGCTTCTGCCAACGAATTGAAAGTTCCAACATCTGGAACGAACCCCTCCTTTGTCATTTTCCTCACCAGTCCTTTAGCTGATTCAAGATAGCCAGCATTAAGCAACCCATCAATTAGAAGGTCTCTCCCGCGTACCGGAGGATTAAATCCCTTTCGACTCATTTCCTCCAAAAACTCTTGTGCCTCTCTCATCTTCCCTGCCGAACACCAGCCATTTACAAGAATGGAATATGTCTTCTTATCCGGAACAGAACCTTTTCGTATCATCCTCCGAATCAATGCATAGGCCCCTTGGAAATTCTTTACCTCGCAAAGAGCAAAAAGCAAAGCATTGTATACTTCGGTGGTATGAGGACAATTGAAGTTCTTGAGCCGATTGAAGAGCTCGACAGCCTGATCAATGAGACCACGCTTACCATAGTGTTCAATAATAAATGAAACGATGGAGGGTGAGATAGGGATATTCTGGGCTTTCATCTGCTGGACTACTTTCCACATTGTTTCCCAATGGGCAGTCCGGGCAAGGGTCTTAAGAAGCTCTTCGAACTCAACGGTAGTTGGGTCATACTGAGGGTGTTGAGTCCGAGCCCAATTAAAGAAGCGAAATGATTCAATACCATGTTGGCAACAACTTCGAAGGATACGGTACACCAGTTCTGAGTTAACAATACTAGAAATATGCATCTTGTTGAGGGTCCGCTCCATGTAAATATCTCGCCGAACAATGTTAGATATATGATGAATTGCTGCAAAGTAGTCATCATTAGGTACACTTCTGCTGCAACTACCTTTGCCGCCGAAAGGATTGCTATCCGGGTCGACGGAAGGTGTTATAGTTTTAAGACACCTAAAAGTGCTGGTGCTGTTGGTTAATATAGCTGAATATGAAGTCCGTTGAAGAAAGATTCTGGCAAACATTGAAAGCATTCCTGAGTAGCAAATTGGTTCAAATCCACTTGATGTAAACTATCTCAACCATTTGGAATTCCAGCTGAATTAACTAGGCAAAAGAGTATAGAATGCATCCATATCGAGGCTCGAGTCCTACAAAGTTTGTAAAAAGAGTGTACATGGAGAATTCAGCAAAATTTACGCTGCTACTCTCTAACACTAAATGGTTATCTCGGGAGGCAAAAAAGTTACTACAGATTTTCAGAGATATTAATAACCAAGTTCTCGGCAACACTGATTTGCCTTAAGGACCAGCTAAGAAGATGAATTTATTTCAAATAGTTAGAAACTGAAATCACATAGCAAAAAATTTAGACAGGAAATGATCTGAAATCGATATACAAGACACAAACAAGTGTACTTTGCTAAACAAGCATCACAAAACAATCATGAAAAAAAAATTGATTATTATGCTTCAATGTCTTCATCTCCGTTTCGTCAGTTACTCGTACAAGAATGATGCAATAGTTACATAATAAGTCCAAACGAGAAGTTTCAATAGCAAGTGAAAAAACAAGAAAACAAATGAAGGTTGTCGACTACATGTATGCAAGCTGCTGCTAATGGACACTCTTTTGTGCAGGTACTTTTCCATTAGTGAGTTAATCATGAGGCACGCCTAGAGGCAATCAAGCTTGAAAATAACAATGACGAGGTATATACCTTTGAGGAGTGCATACACCAGCTCTATGCTTCAAAAGTAGGCATCTGCCTCAGTTGTGTCTCCGATTCGTCTTTTCTGCAATTAAGAAGGCAAGTAACAAGGGGTAACGTTATCCTTTTCCCAAAAAAAATGAGGAAAGAAGTCTTTTTGAGCCTGTCATAATTCTCACATTTAACAATAAAACTGCAAACTTTGTCACCTCACAAATTGCATAGGATCTTATTATAACTGCACAGCATTTTACACCATAAAAATTCCCTATTTCATGTTCCAAGTGTTATGTTACTTGGGCACTTGAAGATTTACATATTAGATAACGTAGAACTTACAGTTAATAATCTGAACAGAATTCTTTGAAAGCCATATATTTGCACACTAAAACTAACCATTTAGTTAAGCAATGTAATTTTCCTTCCGTTACCAAATTACATTATCTGATCAACGAATAGTTGATGAATAACCTGTCGGTGCATTAACATGGAAAATGATCCAACTTATTTGGATAGGTGTCAGCTTACCTGTTTCAAAGCATTCCCCATTCCTAAGAAAAGGGATTCGCAGAATACCATCAACGATAAGCATTCTCTAATCTCGACCCTGTTACTCTTCAAGTTTTCAAATGACACTCATGACTTTAGTCCAATTTTATACAGGTTTCTTTCCTAAAATCATGTTGGTACTATAAGCACATTAGGTTAATTCAATTCGAATATCCTAAGGAGAAACTACTTCAAACCAAAATCTCAAAAATAGACAAAAAAGCCTTGCCAAGATACCAAAAGTTACAAAAAACAAATAAAGTTGAAAACTTTCATTCAAATCAAGTGACCATTTCAGATAAACTTAACACAAAGCAACAAAAATCACCAAGAAATTACAAAAAAGAACAAATAAAGTTGAAACACTTTTAACCAACTCAAGTGACCAATAACAACAACATACCCAGTATAATCCCACGAGTGGGGTCTGGGGAGGGTAGCGAGTAGGCACACCTTAGCCCCACCTGGAGAGGCAGAGAGGGTGTTTCCGATAGACCCAGTGTAACCAACTCAAGTGACCATTTCAGATAAACTTAACATTAAACACTAAAAATCACCAATAAATTACAAGAAAAAAAAAAGTTGGAAACTTTAATCCAACTCAAGTGACCATTTCAGATAAACTAAACATTAAACACCAAAAATCACGAAGAAATTATCCAAAACAAAAAAGGCTGAAAACTTTAATCCGAGTCAAGTGAGCATTTCAACAAAAAAAAAAAATTTGAACACCAAAAATAACACAGCTCTATTTAGCACAATAAGTAAAAGGAAATTAAGAGTAAACAGAAAGATTAAGTGTAGAGACGCTACCTCCTCCCTCCAGCCGTTGATTAATTCAGCGCCAATTATGCTTCTTATGCAATAAGTCCGGAACTTTTGAGTCAAATTCCCAAATTTACAAACCTCGACACCCTTCAGCAAATTGAAGTACATAAAAAAAAGAGAAAACTTGAGAATTGTAGAAACCTTGTGTGTTTTTGTGCGACTGAGAGGTGCTAGTGCGCGAAAATGGGGCATTTGCACAAATAGCCTTTTATATGAGTGCTATTTGCACATGTAAGGGTGCTAGTGCGTGAAAATGGGGCATTTGCACAAATGACCTTTTATGAGGGCAAGTGCACAGATGGTCATTCTCAGGGATGCTATTTAGAGATTAGCTAGTACTTATTTTATTCTGAAATTTTAAATCAAAAATTAGAGATGTAAATGGGTCGGGGCAGGGTAGGGCGGGGCAGGGCAAACCTTGACCCGCTAAAATTTTGACCCGCCCTGCCCCTGCCCCATTTAGCTTTTTTAAAATAAATTGCCCGGCCCCGCCCCGCCCCATTTAGTTTTCTTTCATTTTTCCCTTTATTTTTCATTTTGCAGCATGTTACTTAATTAGTTTTTACTTTTCAACTTTTATTGAAACACTTAAAATTGACATGTCAGTAAGAGTTAGTACTATTTATATTGGTTGAATAGAATATGATTTTTATTAATTTTATGTAGTTTATCAATTAATAAATTTCTCTATCATTAATGCTTCCATGCAAGTAAATGGTGAACTGTTTAAGTCACTTTTGGGACTATATATTTAAAATGTGAAAGTCAAGTATTAAACTCCTTCTTATTTGAAAATGTTACTTAGTCGAAACTCAAATTTCTTTCAAATTAGTTAAATTAATCGTTTTGATTAAAAAAGTATATTTAGAAAAGTTGCTAATTTAAAATTTAGACTTTGACATAAACACAAGATACGACATTGAAGTTTTACCTAAAGTGGATCAGATTATGGCTTATAACGAGCTGAATAGGATAATGACAATCGGACAGAAGATTTACTAATTAGTTTAAGATTATTAATAGCAGACTAGAGTTGATTAAAGTAATCTTAAATTCTTAATGTTGCAAAAGTGCCAGTAATTCAGGGAAAGCTAGTAATATTACTGGTAGAAGAGCATGTATTATTCAGTTTTTGAATTGGGCCTCAGGCTATACAATGGCCCACTATTGGATCTAAAAGCCCACCTGCTACCTGCCCTACCCCATTGAAATTTTTAAAAAACTAAGTTTTGCCCCGCCCCGCCCTATTTATCTTATATCCTGCCCTGCCCTATTAAGTGTCCCGCCCTGCCCCCTGCCCCAATTGTCATTCCTACCAAAAATCATAACTTCAGGATAATTTAGGATTGTCCTGAAAAATTAAACTGAAATACTAAAATTCAGAATACATTGACTAATTCCTAAATAGCAGCCCTTTAAAGTGGCTATCTGGTGTTATTTTTACCTTTTATGAGGTCATTATTTAAATTTTGTCTCCGTTAGTTCATTCGTCTAAAGTTAGCTGCATTCGAATATATTTATTCAATTACTTTTGAAGGTAAAATTAACTCATTAAATTAACGATGATAGAAGTTAAAGAGTGATATCAGAAAAGGTCATACAATGCAATTTTTTTTTCTGCGAAAATATATTTTGGTTTAGATTAAACAAGAGTATATCTAGACCAAGACTAAATTACTATTCCTATTGACTCGAGTTTCGATCGGGTGAAGTACAACAAATAACCCTTAATCTTGAACTTTGGTTCCCGTTTGCCCCATGGCAGAATTTTAAGATTAACAATTGTTGCCACTCGCTTCTCCATTAGCAATACTTTTAACTTTTTGACCTTAAAATTCTATACATAAATAAGCAGGGGTCAAAAGTTAAAGACCATCTAAAAAAATCATATTTTTGCAATTTTTTTATTTTTTCGATCCAAACTTTTGTTGAGGTCTTGAGTAGTGGGCAGAGGCGTGGGAATTGAACCAATGACCTTACAAAAGTTTAGAACCCCTTTGACCACTATGTTATGCTTTTGGCTAGGTCAAACGAATTCAAAACATAATATATAGAGGTAAAAATTTATTTTGCTTTATATAAACAGTATAATTTTTTCCGTCCCCTAAATTCGCCCTTGGTCTTGAGGAGCTGCTAGTTGGATCGAGCCGGTTAAAACTAAAGATTGGATGAACTCAATCGTTGTCTGCAACCCTTGATTTGTGAAATCGTAGCAGAAATATAAATATTTCTGCTATGATTATATTTTTTTTCATATTTGTGATGTTACTGTCAGATTGTATAGATCTCGACTAATTTTACGAAGTATTTGCTATCTCCCATCAATATAATCAAATATCAACTCTTCGTATGTGTTGGGAATGACAACCAAAAACCGTTAAAATACCTTGTGGAAATATAATATTATCATTGGAGTTGTCTTCCACTAGCTTTCATATTGTGACAATAGAAACATTGACCAATACGACTTTTTTCGAATACGGCTTTCCGCAGAATTCTATAGGTATCTATGAGATCGAGTATGGAATTCTGTTTACTCACTTTAAATTGAGTATCCGTTTCCCTCCCTTTCTTGCTAGGATTGGAAATCCTGTATTTTACATATCCATACGATTTCCGAAATAGTGTAAAAAGAAGTGCTTCGAATCATTGCTATTTGACTCGGACTACTATACCGGGAATATAAATGAACCCGATTATTGCAATTGCTTGGGATAGCCTTTTTTAGCTTCTAGGTCTATTTCGTCCGCATGATTTGGCCCATCTTTCTTTCCTCCATGAGAAAACACTACTCAGTGAGACAATTTAGTCAAGTCAATAGCAGCCAGAGCAAAAGATTGATATATAATTACAGTTCGCCTTCTTGTGCCAACATCTCCGTACGAAATAACTATTGATGGTGTAGTCAAAATATAGTTGAATTTACTATAAATTGGAGTAACTAGATTTGAAGAATTAACATTATATTGAACTATAATATTTATTTGAGCGAAGTTTGCAACTTAGGTCAAATTTTAATATGGACTTAATCCAATAGAATTTGTGTCTACTAATACAAGTTTCAGCCATTTAATGTAAACAAAATGTAATTTACATATAAAAATAACACAGTATACACAGTACCAGAGATGATATAGTATTGTTCAAAGTAAATAAAATAAAAGATTAACAAATTTAAAGAGTTGGCAGCTAAGTATAGGGCAATTCATCGTGTGGAGTTTCACTTTTTTTAAATGTTTGGTAAGCCAAATTTTTTAAAAGTATCTATAAATAGGAGGAATACATATTATTTGATTGCTTGCTCAAAAGTTGTCACACATCTTATGAGTATAAAATAATATATATAAATCACGGGAAAATCATAGCAAACCGTAATAATCCGTTGGACCAAATGAAGGAAACAAAAATTAATACTCAGGATTAGGGGGAGAAACATTAGAGACCTTTATTGATAATATTGGTTTGGTCTGCCTCTCCATGGAGAGGTTCAGAGCCTTACAATGGTGTTCCTCTTGCCCATAATTTTGGGTATTGTTGTCCCCTTGTTCTCTCTCTATAGCGGTCACGAAGAAGCCCCCTCCCCCCCTTTTCTAGGGTTCCCTCTCTTGGTATTTATAGCTGTGAGCTTCGTGAGCTGGCAATAAGTGGCCGTGACCACGTTGGGATCTCGCCTTTATGGTGGCGGATAGGCCATGGCCTTGTCGATAGAACCAGATGCGAGCTGAACATCGTCAATTCTGAATGGTCGTGCCACTAATTAGTCATGAATTAACTTAAAACGGGATTAGCCTCGTTAATTATCGTGGGGTCGAATTCTGACCCATACAGTTAGTCCCTCCGCTTATTGAGGTCGGGCCTTGGCCGAGCTCGATGAGTGGATTCCATTGGCTGTATTTCGAGAAACACGGATGGGGATGTCGACTGTTGCTTCGGTCAAGGCCGAATTCTTTTTGGCGATGGTCCTTAGCCTTGTAGAGTATTAGTATCCTGTTATTGGGCTCTCAAGTCATCGTTCGATCGAGGTCGAACTCTCCTCCTGGGCGAAGGCACTTGACCTTTTAACTTACTTCGAATGAGGTCGAGCTGCATTGTGCTCCGATCCTATGTTTGTTTTGGAAGCATACCCGTCGGCCGTGGCGGACGAGTCGTATGTTGTGCGGCCGAGGAGAATGGGGGCACGCTTTATACGTGCTCGGCGGTGGCCTTAGCCGTTTACACGTTGGAGATGGCCGTAGCCTTTCATACATTAGAGATGGCCGTGGGGAATGAGTATGCGCCGGGTACGTATTTGGTCACGTCCAGAATTTTGAAGGCGTACGGCACATTCCTTCAGCGTTCGCAGGCCGTAGCGATTATTCTGACGGCGGTACGTTGGCGGATGGCTGAGAAGCCGCTTTGCGGAGCTTGTCACGATGACGCTTGCTTCGGCAGAACCGAACCGTTATACGGTTGGTCGTGCAGTTAATGATGGCTAGTTGGTTTCGGCGAAAGCCATTTATGTTGCCTATAAAGGTGGGTTGAGGCATTCATTTCTCATATCTTCATCGTTCATCTGAGAGAGATTCTGAGGAAACTTTTTCATTCCGCTAATTCATCTTCTCCTTTCTTTCCTTTGATTGTGATAACCTTTGTCTTTAGTAGATCAACAATGGCAGGCAGTTCTTCCCACGATGCTCTTCCGATAGATTTTTCGGTAGTTGAAGGGCCACCTCCGGCAATGGGAGGTGCAGAACAGATAGAGACTGGAGAAGTTCCGTCGGTTGACGAGGTAGTTCCTCGGCTCGGAGGTCTGGCGATTGATTTCACTGTCGACGGTGGAGAGGAACCGGTGGATGAAGCCCCGTTAATGGGGGAGATTGGGATGGCCCGATTACGGGAACAGGGGGTCATTCCCACTCATGCAGACATCGTTCTCGCTAGAAGCGAGGAGAGGGTCCACACCGACCGCAGAGGATACTGCATTTTTTACGCTATCCTTTCAGGTTGGGGTTCAAGATCCCGCTCCCAATGCTAGTGGTGGATTTCTGCCGTTATTACGGGGTGTGCCCGGGTCAGCTCACTCCTTCCCTCTACAAATTGTTGGCAATGTTCATCAAGTACGCGGAATTGGCCCGTAAGGAGGTCACGCTGCAACATGTGCTTAGTCTCTACGCTCCCCAGAGAGTCCGTGGCACCATGATTC